GGAATAGTAACTTGCAATTGAGCATATGAAATTTAATTTAAATACAAATAAGTCCCATTTTTCCTTGTTCTTCACCGTCAAAAATTCTCTCAAATTCAAGCCAAATTCTTCACCATAGTCCAACATTGACAGTTAATACAAAAACCAAAAATGTGGTATACAACAAAGAAAAACCATGAGGAATAACCCAGAATACAAAACTCCTGATTAAGAAAAAAATTCCCATTTGGTTGCTTGTGAAAGCTAGAAAATAAGGTAACATTTGGGAACAATAACCACCTCTCAGTTAAAGTCCATTGGATCAATATATAAACGAAAGAAAAATAGATCTAAATGTATGAAATTTTGAAACATACCTGAGATTTTTTGGAGATTTGAAGCTTTTAGTGAAGCTTCGGTGGAGCCTTGTCGGTGATAGATTTGTCGGTGAAGCTTTCAACGATTGTTTCGATGGAGCCTGCGATGAAGCTTGTTGTTATGTGCTATGGAGCTTCAGTGAGAGAGAGAGAAAGAGAGAGAGAGAGGGCCAACGAGCGAGAAGGGTTGGCTACATCCAGCGACTGAAAATGAGGTTATCTATTTTGCATAAGGGAGTAGCTAGCCTCTTGGAGCAATATTTTGGGTAGAGGTTATCTAAAATAGGTAAAGGGGTAGGTTTAGCCAACCTCTTGGAGATGTTCTTATATTGGTGCCACAATTTTTTGTGTTTCATATTAATGTGACTATATTGCATTATACTCGTATCTCTGTATCCTTTGCTTGGATGTTGACCCACTAATGAAAGTGAGTATGTGAGTTAACTTCATTTCAACTTTAATATAGTATTTATTGAGACTCGTTATTTATTCAATGGTAATGATTTATTAAGTCAAAATTTGAATTTATTTAGCATTTTTTTATAATTAAACACATATTTCAAAATCTCATATCAATTTCATGAGTAATGCTATTTGAATAAAAAAATCTGACCTAATTTGCTGACATATTGTTGTGGTTTAATATGAATCATTGAATTAACACCAATTTTCAATATTTGATGAGACCTACAGTCAATCCAAGGGTCATAACAAATTAGGTCAAATTTTTAAGTCCCAATAATATTGCTCCAATTTCATATCAAGTTAAAAGATCATGTTAAAAATATTGAACCCTATACCACATCTGAATGGCTTCGAGAGTGTCAATTTTAAATGAAAAAGAACTTAGATATGCTTTTGTCAGTGTACTGGGTGTTGTGTCCTACACTATGTGAATGATCTGGCCATGGGTTTGTTTAGCCACTTAATTTTTTGGGAAAATTACCCCTAGGCCTTATAAAATTTGTCACTTAATTACTCGGGTCTCTTAAAATTTAAAATATTATATATAAATCCCTTAAAGTTTATATCTACATAACACTTACACCCTTGTTGGCAATGTCAGTTAGTATATCTGTTAGTAAATTACACCCAGATCCCTTAAATTTTGTAGACGTATAATATTTAGGCCCCTCAAACTTAAAACGTTATACTTGAACAAAAAATACTCTATTTAAAGATAGAATATCAAATATTTTAAATTTTATAACCAAAATTCATGTTTTATTGTATCATTTATTGCAATAAAATCAAAAATCAAAATATAATTTTTTCTTAAAAAATTGTAATTTATATACAATTTGACTATCTATCTGAATAAAACAAAAAAATCAAACAAGGGGTCTAAGTCATTCATAATATAATATAAATTTTACAACCAAAATTAATATTTTATTATGTCATTTATTGAAATAAAATCAAAAATAAAAATGTATATATTTTTTTAAAAATATAATCAATATATAATTATACTTTTTAATAGAATAAAACTAAAAAATCAAATAAGGGTTCAAACTGTAATAGATACAATATCTTCTAGTTTTAATTGAGGTAATTTGATAGATTAATTTGGTCGATCAAATTAAATTGTAATTTATAGTATAATTGTATACTAATTATGATTTTTTTTAAAAAAAAATAGATTTTTGTTTTTTTTATTTCAATAAATGTGATAATAGAATATTAATTTTGGTTTTAAAATTTAAAATATTTGGTATTCTATATTTAATTGGAGTGTTTTAGATCTAAGTATAATATTCTAACTTTAGGTGTCTAAATATTACATGCTTATAAATTACAGGGGATCTGGATATAATTTACTAACAAATATACTAACGGACATTGACAATAATGGTCTATGTATTAAACGTGTACAAATGTCAAGGAGTCAGTGTGTAATAATTCAAATATTAAGAGGTTTGAGTGATTAAGTAACAAACCTCAAAAAGTCTGAATGTAAATTCTCCAAAAAAAATTTTGATGAGCCCAATCCAACCAATCTAGAATTATAATCGAATTAGGAAATTGACCAAAGCCAGTTTTAATGGAAGCTCTCGATTCAACAAAGAAGCGCCAAATTAATAAATTATAGCCAAAGATATCATCAACAGGGTACATAAACAACTTAATTATGTAGTCTACATTTCAAAATGATTAGGAGCAAGTACTTTCCAGCCACTTGGATATTGGTCTGCCTATCAATTATGTGAATTTGATTCAAAATTCTAATTAAGTTAGTGGGATAAGAATTGAGATTTTTTTAATAATATAAATTTAAATTTAATCTGTTCAAACATATTTAATGAATTTAACTTTGTATATTAATATCTTATTCAGTTGTTGTAAAATGATTAGGAGCAATTGAGCAATATATTCCAACCATTTAGATATAGGTCGGCAGAAGAATTGAATCTTTATCCGAATTGGGTCTAAATTCCAATTAAACGAGTCGAGTAAGAATTGAAATTGTTTTTTACTAATATAAATATAAATTTAATTTGTTAGATCATATTTAACATATTTAATTTTCTATATCAATATACGATTCAATTGTTGTCTTATTGAAAATCTATATAATAAAGTATGATACAATTCAAATATCAAAAGATAAAAAAAATGACTTTTATTTTTCGTGATTGAAATCTTTTTAAATTTTACTTTAAAATTAATCTGATGGTTAATATTAATACCCCAAATTTAATAGAAAAAATAGGTCTCTAAGGGTGTATTTAAAGTAACTTTTTAAAAGTGTTTATAAGATTTATAATTTCGCATAAGTATTTTCAAAAAAAAAATAGTATTTGAAACTGTCCCTACCACCACCCCCCACTGCCCCATCACCACCAACACCACTTCCATCGTCGTCGCTGCTATCCTACTACCACTGTCAGCACCCCACCATTACCACCACACCCCATCGCCCCACCACTACTACCGCCACATTACCACCCCCTACTGCCCCACCACCACTACCGTTGTTGTCATCTTACTACTACTATCATTGTTCCACCATCATTCTTATTACCACCACCCCCACCGTCTTACAACTACCATCACCATTGCCCCCACAACTACCAGCATCACAACCAATCGTCGTCCACCATCACAACCATCACCATCTTCCACCATCACCACCACTACCATCGTCCGCCTCAACTACAACCGAATACTTAAATTCCTTTCTCTTTCTTCTATTTTTGTAATTTAATTTTGAGTGTTAATACAAATATGTTTGTTGTTGATCATTTTTTTTTATTATTATGTGTCTTCAAACACCGAAAATAACTAGTATATTTATATGTATACAAATAAATGATGACAATGAGTTGAAGTCAAATTTATTTGTTAAAATTCAACCTAATTTGTTAAATTCAATAGATATTCAAATTGAATAGCCAAATATTCGATTTGATATAAGGAATGTTAAAATATGTGACAATTTTAACTACAAAATGATGGATGAAGTCTGAGGTCCTGTTTGATTTGCGTTTCAAAAACTAGTATTTGAACACAATTTTTTAGAAGAGTTTTAAGAAAATGATTTTGATTTTTTTTAAGATAAAAAATTTGTTTGGTTAGATGATTTCAAAAACAATTTTACAATACGGAAAATAGTAAAACCTGTTTGGACAGTCTAAATATATATTTGAACAGTAATTCAAATATTAATAAAAAAATATAAAAAATTTATTTTTATATTGACAATTTATTTTTATTTTATATTATAATATATACTTATATATATATATATATATATATATATATATATATATATATATAAGTATATATTATAATATATTCATATATACATATAAGTATAATATATATATATATATATATAACATATTTATATATATTATATTTATATACATTAATATTATATTATATAATAATATGTATATATGCATATATGAATATAATATATGTATATATGAATATAATATATATATATATATATATATATATATATATATATATATATATATATATTATATGTAATATATAATATAATAGATTATAATATTAATATGTAACATATAATATAATATACTATATATATATACACATATATACATATATACATATTATATAATATAAATTAATATGTAATATATAATATAATAGATTATAATATTAATATATAACATATAATAATATTTAATAGATTATAATATTAATATATAACATATAATATAATATACTAGATTATAATATTATATATTATATATTATGAGAGAGAGGAAGAAGTAAAAAAAAGGAATGAAAAAATTTGTTATTAAGCAGACTCGAAGGGCAGATCTCATTAAAATTTAAAATTGTTCTCCTTATTTTCAAAATTTTCAAAAAATACTCTGGAAACAAGTTAAACTTGTTTTCTGTTTTTTTGACTCAAATCTCATTTTTTTTTTCAAAAATTTGAGAACAAAAATGTTAAACAAACAGATTTTAGGTGTTTTTAAAATTTTGAGAACAAAAAACAGTTTTCGAAAAACTAACCAAACATGACCTTAGTTTTTGCCTTAGGATTGAAGAAGAAGCAAAGACACTAACGTCACAGCCAATCCCCCAATCAAATAATTACTTAATTGAAGTAAGAATATAAAGTCAAAAACTTTAAGTGAACTTTGCCATTCATGAGTAATCAAACGAAGTGGTTTTGTGGCTAGTAAACCTTTAGGGCCATGTTATCACCACTCAAAATGCAACACTTTCATAAGTTGATAATTGCTGATGATGTTCAATCTTTTGATACAAACAACCACAACCAATCGTTTTCAACTTTTGCACACATGGAGGTGTAAGGGTGTGACCTATTAAAAAAGCAAGAGGTGTATTATATTACATCACACTAATACATTACTCTCTCTCTCTCTAACAATAAATGATAAATACACTATAAACACATCACTCAACCTCAAAGTTACTCAAAAGATGCCACTTCTCAAAGTGTGCATTCATTGATGTACCAAAATAAAGTACTCATTCCCACCTCAGAAAACCAACCGGAATCTGACCCACATCTCCAAGAAGCATTCACTCTCTGACCCATTTCTCAAAAGATGGAGCACAACCCACAACAGCTTTGATCCACAAGTTTCTCTCTCTTGTCTCCTCACTCCATGGTTGTCACTGAAGAATGATTATTAGCAACAATCTGATAATCATCTCCATTATCGTCGTCATCTTCTTCTTCTTCAGCATCTTCGTCATTTTCTTGGTTCTGATGAACATTTTCTCTCTCACCCATCATTTGCATTAATATGTCTTCCGGCTTCAAATTACTGCTAGACCCATCTGAATTATCAAATTTCTTGGACTTCTTCTCATAGAGAGGCTCAAGAAGATGGAAATAAGGGCATGTTTTTGCATCTTCCGGTCTTTTCTTATTGCTTTCTTTCACTCTTTTGAAGTACTTGTTTATATTCTCCCATTTCTCTTTACACCTCTTTGCATTTCTATCATACCCAAGCTTCTTCATTTCTGCTGAGATCGCCTCCCACAATGGCCCTTTGGGTCCATTTTCTTCATATTTCAAATCAAGATTGGTCCTAATCCTGACCAACGCTTCAACTTCTGCCTTAGGCCATCTTGAAGAGCTCAATTGAAAATAATTCTCGCCAAAATTATTCTCTTGTTTGTCAATAATTTTCTCAGATGGAATTGAGTTTTCTGGCATTGGGTTTTCCGGCAACTGCACCGGGATCTCCTGATCGGAGATTTTTTGCAAGAATGCAATAACAGCAGCATCCTTGGCTGTTGCAACGGCGCGTTCATGAGCAAGCACCTCTTGTTCTTTCTTAATTCTAGCCATTTCTTGCCTCTTCCAAGCTTCTTCTCTCTCAATCCGATCCCTTTCGCATTTTTCAATTGCTTCCATGAACTTATTCTGTAAATTCTCTTGCTTTTCCAACACTTCCTTCATTAATCTCTCAAAATAATCCCCCAATTTTCTCTTTCTCCTAGCATTGCATTCGGATTCTTTCCCCGACGAGGAAGTAGTGGATGTGGAGGTGGACATGGGCTCTGCAATCTGGTTTTGGATTGAACATAGCGGAGTTGAAACATCTTGAAAAACACTTATGGGATTTACCATTGTCATAGGCATTGCCATTGTCATTTTCGAAGTTTCTGCTTCAATTTTGTTGAAGAGCGGCGATGGAAGTGGGGAAGATTGGGTGCCAAAAGCCTCCAATTGATCGAAAAATCGATAATTTTTGCCATTTTGTCGACCAGATCGACCTTCTTTGGTTCTTTTATGGTATTTATAGATGTTCTCGAACTTCTCTTTGCATTTCTTGGCACTTCGGTGGTACCCAAGCTCAGCCAATTTCCTGATAATAATAAAAGTTCAATAAACTCCATTTGTTTTCCTCTTCCAAAACTAATATACATGAAATATTATATATCATGACTACACCCATATGATCTCATGAATAACAAATCAAAAGAAAAACGATTTCATGGATTAAAACAAAAAAGGAAACTAGTAAAAGCAGATAAAAACCCATTGATCAGCAACATAGGAAAAAAGGTAATTTTTAGCTGTGGGAAATTTTGAGAGGGATAAGCCGTCAAAAAAAAAAAAAAATCTCATGAATAAAAACAAACTTTATCAAAGAAGAAAAATCATGAATTATTAAGAACTAACTGAAACTTGAAGATATAGATTAGTGGCGTTGAATGAATGAAGGAAATGAGTAAAACAGACAAAACCCTTAATCTTCGTAAGGAAAAAAAAGGAAGATTTAAGAGGGACAAAAGAACAAAAAAAATCCATGGTTCCAAAATCAGAAAATCAATAAAATTCACAGATAGCTAAGCTCCACACGCACACGCACACGCACACGCACACAATCTATAAGTTATAGATTCTTATTAACTTATGAAGTAAAAACAAACCAAAACATATCTTGTTAATAAAATGAATATTGTCCAAGGAATATAAATCATAGAAAATAATGAGGTACTAATACCCAACTGAAACTTTAAGATATAAATTATTTTCTGAATAAAAGAAAATTGAAGATATAAATTACTGCCATTGAATAACCGACGGAAATCAGTAAAACTCATCAAACCCATTAATCATCATCGGGGAAAAAACTGATTTTTAGTTGTGGGAAATTCTAAGAGGGACCATAGAACAAAAACTTAATGGTTTCAAAACCAACAATAAATGATTATATAGATGACTAACTCCACACACACACACAGACACGATGGTTTCCTTCTCTATTTTATAGATTTTTAGTTTTCTTTTTTTCCTGGATGTATTGAAAGAAAGCAAATTGAAACACAGATACCTAGCAACCTCATCCCAAAGAGGAGCTTTGACAGGTGAGTCACGAAATGCCACATCCATATCAGACCTTATCTTCAACAAAGCCAAAGTCTCTTCCCGAGGCCACCTATTACCGGCGAAATTCCGGTCACCATCTTCCCCTCTCCGCCTTTCCTCCTCCCCAGACCCATCGGAAACTGACCCACCACCGCCAGCGCCACCACCAACAACTCCACTACCACCCTCAGCCCCACTAACAGCCGCAGGAGCAGAATTTTCCAATAAAACTGAGGTTTCCAGCATGAGTTCTCTTGGTAATTACAGCTGAAATTTTCCTGAAAAGAAGGTGAATTTCTATGGCTTGGTGAAGTTTTAGCAATGGTAAATTTGTTGGGTTGTTTGAAAACTGGCCTTTGGCTTCTATGAAATCAACCGCTTTTTCATTATTTTATGGGTTTAAGTAACTAGAAGGAGGGGGGTGAATTAGGGTTTGTTTTGGTGAGATAAAGATAAGGGAGGCAATGTTGAGGTAGGTCATGGTTGATAAACTCAATGACATGTTCAAATTTCATTGGTTGAAATGACAGAATTTGATTTTTCTAAGTTTGTTAACTTTGTTGTGCACCAATTAAAATTTGACACTTTTTTCCAACTCGCATAAGGTAAAGTGGAATTTAATGCCCTCTATTACACCTTCGTTTCATATTAAATCACTCACCGTATATGAATTAAGGATTCACTAGTAAATACTCTTTTCATTTCTAAATATCTGTCGTTTAACATTTTTGCATAAAAATTAAAAAATCTATTAAATAGTTCTAATATGAGTAAAAAATAATTTTACAAAACTAAAATATTTTTATTCAATACGTATTGGGAAGGAAAGAAATGTGAAAGACACTTAGCCTACATTTAATCTATTAAGCACTTATTGGAAAATAAAGATAAGGGTAAATTTGGAAGAAAAAATATTAATTATGTTTTAATTTCATAAAACGACAGATATTATGAAACAAAAAAAAATTATGTAAAACGACAGATATTTAAGAACAGAAGGAGTAGTGAGTTTTACTTGAATGTGGAAGATCTTCATCTGCAACAATATAAAAAAATATATATGTGAATGACTTAGTTGGGAGTTTTTGAAAATAATAATGCTTGAATCCAGATGATATCAGTCAAAAATGATAACATTTGGGGTCAAAAAAAAGAAGGAAAATATGTTTGAAGATAATTTTAAGAGCCACCAAGAGTGTGGATGAGAAGATAGGGATGATGAGGGGGATGTGTAACAAGTTGTTTCTTGTAATTTTGTGTGATGCAGCAAAGTTTAATTAAAAGTTGACCCACATAGCCCACCATTTGCTTTTGACCTGTTCTTGTTTTCCCACCAGCGTTTGCCCATGTTTAAAGCAAATTATGTTATAGAAAAAGAGAGGGATTAAAAGTTTAAAACTGATTGTTCTTATAAGTTATGAAATCGTGCATGAAAAAAGAGAAATGATATTCAAAAATGCGCTTGGATATTTATATGAATCATATCATGAGCAAATGTACGACAATTTTATTTTGTTTTGACACGGGACAATGGTTTTGTTGAATTTTCGTACTTCATGTGTTGTCTCTTATACTTTTTTTTCCCTTTAATTATTAAAATAATGGAATTAAGCTGGCCTTTGGGAGAGTAAAACATCCCAATCATAAAAGCTGTCAATAGAAAAATAGTTCCGAATTGGGGTTACGTAATCTGAATTTTAGGGTGTCATTTTCACATTACCTAGAGAGCAAGTGGTAAAAGGCACAATTAATCAAAACTCCAATTTCCAACCTCCAAAGAGGTGAAACTGTGGTCTTGCACTGGCCCACAACGCATATTGGGACCAACTTACACCCTTGGGACCACCAATATTATCAAGACTTCTGTACCTCACCTTTGACCCAAAATATCTAGATTTTTTTTTTTAAATCATAAGTTTCACATTTCTGAAGAAAATCTCACAATCATCTCAACCATACACTTTACAAATTCATGGTTACTATGTAAAATCAGGATACATGCAATAACTCATGAATTATGTATATTGGTTAACATAAATGTTTTTTACAAAACTTGAACTTAAATTTTGAGATAGTAATTATTGAAACTCGACAATCGACCATTCAATGAGTTTTTTTTTTTTTTTTTAATTTTATTGCTTATTTTACAAGAAATCAACAGCAATCTAATATTCGCAGCCTAAAAAGGGCAAAATATCATTATCATGTCCTCAGCACCATATTCAGCAGTGCTCTTTAATTCTTTTGGGTGGAGGAGACATATTCGATTCTAGCACAATAGATTACCAAAGGGAAACCATTCTTTAATGAAGCAAATGGAAATACTTGAGGGAGAACACTTAAAAATTGTTGTTTGGTGCCAAGAATGCTAATTTCAAGCTGCTTTTGAATAATTTGTGTTATGTCAAAAATGGATTCAATCTACATACAATTTTGTCATAATAAATAGTGTATAGTCGTATCCGTATCATATTAATGCACTCATGGTCTTACTTGAACTCAAACTCTCCTCTATTTTAACATGGGCCAGCCATATTATGTAGATTTCCTTTTCACACCTTTGATTCAGACTATCTAGACTTTTCTTATCAAAGTTTCACATTTTTTAAAATATCCAAGACATATTTGGGTCCTGCACAATAAAGTACCAAACGTTTTTTTTTTTATCAAGATAGAGTACCAAAAGGAAGTAAAGTTCAAAATTGTTGTTTGGGTGACAACAAATCTAAGATCAAGATTCTTTTGAATAGTCTCTTCTTGTAATTGTTGTGCGGATGTATCAAATATGACAACATACTTATTTAAAGTTCTGATATTAATTATGCAATAATTGTTATCGAAAATATGTATATAATTGGAATATATTAAATTGTATAAAATATATCTTATGCACTAATTTAAAGAAAATGTATGGAAATCCAAACTAGTACACTCATATTGACATATAACAACATAAATAATAAGATCCAGAAATCCAATAATAAAAATAATAATCCGAGCCCTGTGTAATTACAGTTTTGTTCAAATAGATTTGTTCTATCTCAGTGCTTAAGGTTGATAAGCAACTGTCTCCTAACATAGAACAAATTTCGTTCTTGAAGATGTAGCATTTCAATCTTCAAAATTTCAACGAATACAATTTTGTGTTTATACTTGAACCAAACTTGAAATAATAATGCAACAATATGCACTGAGAGAACGAGAAGAAAGACAAAATACTTAATTCAGTATTTTTGATAAATTGAAAGAACTAGAATGAGAGAACAATTCTTGAATTGTTAAATGATGTATTTTGGGAGTGCAAGGAATTACTTATTTATAAACTCACTAGTGACTTTTCGTAAAGTGTGTAATCGTATGTAATAGTACCTTTTAATTCAAATGAGATCAATAGTAGTTTTATGACAATGTACAACCATTTGAAATGATGGTTTTTAGTCCAAGAGATATCACTGGTGACTTTATGTGTAACTATTTGAATTGGTGCCTTTAATAAAAAATTATCAATTTTGAATTAGTAGCCTTTCATGTCATATTCATTTCACACTTTTTTAATTACTCCAAAATATTACAAAGACTTTAGCAATTTCTCATTCAATATTTAAATTATTTCCAACAATAATATAGTATCAACAATTCAGGAGTGGCCCGAGATATTTTAGGGCCTAAAGTGGAAATATTAATTAAGTTTTTATATCCAAATTTTTGTTATCATAGTTAAACTTGATGGTACAAGAAAGAAAGGGGGATAGAAAAAATGATTGCAAAACTATGTTGGTAAGTTTAAACTTGAATTTTATTTGGGGATTAAGACTTTTATTTTTAGTAGGTTTAGTTTTAGTGTTAGTTTTTTTTTTAAATTGAATTTTAGGACTTTTTAATTTAATGGGCTAAATTAATTGGCCAAGTCCACTCAAGTTGAAATATTTTGTTTGACCTGAAATCTATAGAGCCTTTCTTTAAGTGGGGCCTCAAATAGGGGTGGAGCCAGAAAATTATTACTGGGTGGGCACCAAACATTTTAATAAGGTTTTAATTTTTTTTTCTCAAAATTTACAAAAGTAAGATAATAAATTTAATTTTTTGATTATGCTACTTTTAATACTTCAAAATTTCATTAAAGACAAAATGTCAAAATTAGGTATGCATAGTGTATAAAATTAAAACAAAATAAAAAATTAATTGTAAGCCTTTTGTTAAAAAAAAATAATTGTGCCATTTGAAAGCATTTAGCTTCACCAAATTTTCTCAATGTAGGCATTCAAAATCAAGCACCCAACAATATTGACAATTGATTAAGAATCAAAAAATAAAATATTGAAAATGGAAGGAAAACATTATCGAATTATATCATTGATATTGAATGAAGATATTTGTGATTTCAAGAATCAAGGAGACCCTTGATGGGTTACGCTACAACTGCAGGAGGAGTTTAAGAAGTCTTTAAGCACATTATTGTAATACCAACTTAAATAAAATAATTTTAAGTGTAACGTCCCAAAATCTACCCTGAAAGACATTACTATCTACAAATCATTCAATCATGAGAGTAACTAAAAATAACCATTAAGTAATAAACCGTTCATCCATTTGATAGGGAATAAATACTAAAGCCAATAAAACATTGAAACTTCTCCAACTTACAATTTAAAACCAAAAATATCTTCCAGTGGAATAATAAAAACTAGCTAAAATATTGTTTCATAAAAATCTCTCAAACTCTAAACCAAAAATAGATCAACTTTATTCCTCTAAGGTATGATCCACATCTTGAATCTCCAACGGCTCGTAATCAATCTGCTCATCCACATTGACATTATCTTCTATGCCAAAATCTGGAAGTGTGTTGTAAGGGGTGAGCAAAAGCCCGTAGGAAATCCCTCTCAAATCCCAACAAGGTTTTTAAAATAATAAAAGATGTTATGTCTCTTTTGGAAAATAACATATATAAATTTTGAGAATAAAACCATGATAGTTGTAATAATCTCAAGTGTACAAAATATAGTAAATTAATGACAAGAATCAACTTGCAAGAAATTAAAGCAATCAATAAATATCTCAATAAATACCATTTCATATTTTTCATGTGTGTTAGTTAATCCTCATTGTCATGTATGTTGGTTACTTCTCATGAATCTATACAATGATTCTGCCTCGTTTATCTACTACAACCTCATAATTTTAATAATTCCCCGTAGGACCAAATCACAAACCATTTTAGGAAGAGCGTATACCGTCTCCCATGGCATTGAAAAATCCTTCCCATGAAAGGTATATCCTTCCTCAGCCTCGAACTTACGTGAACAATAGTGGTTACTCTCACAAACAAAAATCCACTACAAGTGTTAGACAATCATCTCACCCCCACTAAATAGACTAACCTCTAACACTTTACGGCAACTATTGAAAGCAATTCAAGTCCATGACAACAAATCATACAAGAGATGAAACCACAACTTTCTCAACAATCACAATTTGTCTTAACTATTCAAGTATCACAAGTGCACAATTCTCAATGTACTACATTACTAAAAGAATTAAAATATGCAAGAGATCATCTCAATAAAACATTCACAATTTTG